TTGATTTTAATGAAATTTGGTGTGAGCATTTATATTGATGAGATCTTAGTAAAGTTCGAATTTGAAGATTTTTTTCGATCAGCCCTTGACTTGCGAAAAAAGTGTTGAAATTTGTTTGTGAACACAATAGAGACTACGGTTTTTATCTGATTTTAATGAAATTTGGTGTGATCATTTATATTAATGAGATCTTGGTCTGGTTTGAATTTGACAATTTTTCGATGTTATTGCCATTGACTTGGGCAAAATGCATGGAAATTTGTTTGTAAACATAAGAGAGACTACAGTTTTCCACTGATTTTAATGAAATTTGGTGTGATCATTTATATTGATGATATTTGGATGATTGGTTTTTGAGTTATTAAACTTGACTTAGAAAAAATGCATCTAAATTTGTTCGTGAACACAATGGAGACTACAGTTTTTACCTGTTATGATCATTTATATTGATTAGGTCTTGGAAAAGTTGGAATCTGACGAATGGTTTTTGAGTTATTGCCCTTAACTTAAGAGAAATGCATCAAAATTTGTTTGTGAACACAATAAAGACTACAGTTTTCATCGTGTTTAAATGAAATTTGGTGTGATCACCTCTAAAAGAGATTTTTCAATAAACATAACTTGAGTTATTGCCGTCGACTTGGTAAAAATGCATCAAAATTTGTTGGCTTCTGAACAATATAGAGGTAACAGTTTATGTCAGAATTTTATCTGTTCGTTTAAATCAACAATATCTATGACACGTTAGATTTTTGGAACGTTTTGACACAGATTGCTAGAATTATTATCCATTTTTTGACACACAAGCCAAGATTGTTGTTGTCAAAAGCAATGTTTGCTGGCTTGCTATTTGTGAAACTGAATTGCATCTATTGGATGTTGAACCTTTTGCTTGGTATGAACCACATCTGTAGAAATGCCACTTTTGAAGATCATATCCATATTTTTAACAGAGAACCACCCCATATGCTACATCTGTAGAAATGCCATATTTTGCTAATCATAGGCACATTTGTCGCACCGCTACATTCGATGGGGTACCACGTTTGTTGGACATAAGTGGAAATAGAAGGACAGGGCCACTCTTTCTGGGAGTATGACACATTTTTCAACACAGCCATGCCTGATTGGCTTTTGATGGATAGTCACTTTTGTTGTGCATAAACCACAGTTGTTGAATTTTTCACATAAGTGTTGATTTTTGGAAATCTCCTTTTCACAGTAGGGATAAATTGGGTATTGCCATTTGCTAAATTGGACGGTCGGTCAGTGTGACACTCTGGAAGTGGTCATGCAGTAGGTGAGGGGACCACTTTGCTGCATGATCCTCGAAGGTGGTGTCATGTGTCCTACGGCAAATATTAGAAATGGTATAAATCTGACATTAGTCATTTTGTCAATACCTTGAGAGGATTCAAATTTGATGAAAACATGACACGGTTGCTGAATTCGGGACAACATCTGTAGGCCATATGCTGCATCTGTAGAAATGCCATATTTTGCTAATCATAGGCACATTTGTTGCACAGCTTCATTCGATGGGGTACCACGTTTGTTGGACATAAGTTGAAATAGAAGGACAGGGCCATTCTTTCTGGGAGTATGACACATTTTTCGACACAACCATGCCTGATTGGCTTTTGATGGATAGTCACTTTTGTTGTGCATAAACCACAGTTGTTGAATTTTTCACATAAGTGTTGATTTTAGGAAATCTCCTTTTCACAGTAAGGATAAATTGGGTATTGCCATTTGCTAAATTGGACGGTCGGTCAGTGTGACACTCTGGAAGTGGTTATGCAGTAGGTGAGGGGACCACTTTGCTGCATGATCCTCGAAGGTGGTATCATGTGTCCTACGGCAAATATTAGAAATGGTTTAAATCTGACATTACTCATTTTGTCAATACTTTGAAAGGATTCAAATTTGATGAAAACATGACATGGTTGCTGAATTCGGGACAACATCTGTAGGCCATATGCTGCATCTGTAGAAATGCCATATTTTGCTAATCATAGGCACATTTGACGCACAGCTACATTCGATGGGGTACCACGTTTGTTGGACATAAGTGGAAATAGAAGGACAGGGCCATTCTTTCTGGGAGTATGACACATTTTTCGACACAGCCATGCCTGATTGGCTTTTGATGGATAGTCACTTTTGTTGTGCGTAAACCACAGTTGTTGAATTTTTCACATAAGTGTTGATTTTAGGAAATCTCCTTTTCTCAGTAGGGATAAATTGGGTATTGCCATTTGCTAAATTGGACGGTCGGTCAGTGTGACACTCTGGAAGTGGTCATGCAGTAGGTGAGGGGACCACTTTGCTGCATGATCCTCGAAGGTGGTGTCATGTGTCCTGCGGCAAATATTAGAAATGGTATAAATCTGACATTACTCATTTTGTCAATACCTTGAGAGGATTCAAATTTGATAAAAACATGACACGGTTGCTGAATTCGGGACAACATCTGTAGGCCATATGCTGCATCTGTAGAAATGCCATATGTTGCTAATCATAGGCACATTTGTCGCACAGCTTCATTCGATGGGGTACCACGTTTGTTGGACATAAGTGGAAATAGAAGGACAGGGCCATTCTTTCTGGGAGTATGACACATTTTTCGACACAGCCATGCCTGATTGGCTTTTGATGGATAGTCACTTTTGTTGTGCATAAACCACAGTTGTTGAATTTTTCACATAAGTGTTGATTTTAGGAAATCTCCTTTTCACAGTAGGGATAAATTGGGTATTGCCATTTGCTAAATTGGATGGTCGGTCAGTGTGACACTCTGGAAGTGGTCATGCAGTAGGTGAGGGGACCACTTTGCTGCATGATCCTCGAAGGTGGTGTCATGTGTCCTACGACAAATATTAGAAATGGTATAAATCTGACGTTACTCATTTTGTCAATACCTTGAGAGGATTCAAATTTGATGAAAACATGACACGGTTGCTGAATTCGGGACAACATCTGTCATGCCTGATCTGCTATTTATGGAGTACCATTTATGTACCAAATCTTTAGAAATGAATCATTATAATCACATTTTTTTTTACTTTATAGGAGAAACAATGTAATGCCTTTTTGTAAACAAAGTAAAGAAATTTAGGTCGTGTGTATGGTTGTAAGTTTATTTTATCTGTGTTTATCAGGCCACTAATCGCTAATTTCTTTTACTAATTTTATCAGTTTCATTTTCTTTCAGGAATGATATTGTGATGACATTTGTATCTGAAATTAATGGTCTACTTTAGCTTTTTGCTATTTCAAGTAGCCTACTAGTCATTTTCAACACGTTGACATATCTTTTTTAATTGGCCACAATTTGATACAAATGTTAGTCCCAATATGGTCTTTGTGCAGTTTCTATAGGTACCAGATTACCAGTATGATGGTGAAATGGATGAGAGATGGTGGAGCAAAGACCGCTTTGACTATTTTGTGGCAGGTTATTTATACTTCCTGTCCAATAAGGTCATTGTGGTTTATGCTTTTTTTTACAACGTTGTCAGCTGTTTTTAAAGTAGTAAAATCACAGGCTGAGTTCAGATTGTGTTTTGAGAAGGTTCTGATTATCCTCTTTCAATATGGTTTATGTTTTTGGATGATCTTCACCAGTTCTTATAAGCTGCATTTTTTTCAAAAGGCATGATTAACTAGTTAAAAGCTTTTAGATTGCAATCAGAGTCCTATCCTATGCAGGTTGGATACATTCACGACCAATTTGACTGTTTTGTGGTATATTTTTGTAATAATCTTATGCCCAATTTAGTCAAAGTGGTTACTCTATTATTTCTACTAGTTATTCAAAAGCGAAAGACAGAGAGCAGTGGTGATAAGTTTTTTTGGCAACAGGATTGAAATATTCATCTATTTACCAGTATCATTCACAAATTTCGAGTGGTTAGAGGTGGGGAGTTGTTGTTGTTGTAAAGTTGTAAATTGATAAAAACTTGTCTAAAATGAAAACAGGCAAATGATCTGTATGCTATGATTCTGTATAGAACTTTCTTACTTTCTAAAACTCGAGTTGACCAAATGACCAAAGAAAACATGAAACGACAAGGAAACTATTATGTATAGTAGTCATCAAACACAGGTTTAGTGGAATTTCAGGAACAACAGACGTCTGATTGAATGTTAAAACTTTGAAGATAAAATGTTACAATTTGTCTATTACACAGTTTTGCGATAGCTCTCTCAGGAGAGTTAGAGCCACAGACGTCTACGGCCCAACTACACAGTAAAACAGGTTGTATACAACTTTTGTAATATATTCCTTGTCAGTATATAAAGTTGCATGAATCACATAGATTCCTGCCAAAATTGAGAATGACCATTTGTCAGATATAAAAGTTTAATTTCGAAATCGATAATAATCGGATGAAAGGTCATAGCCGTTGTGTGTACAATGATGGGACTTTGTTCATGATTGAATTTGATTATAATTTGGGTGAACTGTTTTTGAGGTTTTGCCTGGACTTTAAAATATTTTAAAGATTATTTGAAAATTCATTATAAAGTCACTAACGACTATCATTTCTGACAGCTGGTAGTGGACGATCTAATTGATAAGATCGTTGTGTTGTACTTCGTACTTGTATTTGTTTTGCAGGTATTGGATACATTGCTGCCAGAGAAATAGCTCATATGGGAGGTCATGTTATTATTGCTTGTAGAAATATGGGTAAAGCCGATGCGGTAAGATTATTGATTTAATTTAAACTTTCAAATTCGTTCATAATTGAAATTAAGATGACCACATAAACACTCATATTTATACCGCTATTTGAAGCGGGTTTGATTTAGATGATTTAGTCTTTTGTTCAGACCAGTGGTGGTGCCAAAGGGGGGTATGGGGGCAGAGGGTACAGCCTAGAAGAAGATTATATAAAACTGTGTAAGTATTTATTACTGTAGTAGGCCTACTGATATCAGACTCTGGAGACCGAGCTTAATTTCATAACCTTATACAGATAGATTTTATTATTATTTTAAGGTAAAATTGTTCCACTACTGTTCCTTCTGACTTGTATCCAGTATTATTTGATTATTATGTTTGTATCATGATTCTATTCATTCTAGTCAAGTAGAATAAACTTCACAATTATTTATGTTTAAATTAAAACAAAATGTATAAACTGGCAATTAACAAAACGTGTGTTGCTCCAAAGAGCACTCATGTGAGTTACAAGATGCCTACAGTAATTGACAGTGTTTGTTTACCTGATTAACATGATTGGGGGCTGGGGTATTAAGCAATCAATCACTTCGGTGATTGATTCACCTCGTATAAATAGGTCCCGCCTCTTGGCTTGTCTTGTGTGCAAACATATAAATAAAGAACAAAGCAGGTGTGTCTAGTTTACACTCATGCAAGTTCGTGATTTGTTTCCTCAATAAACTACTCTAAGATATATTATACATGTATATGTATAAACTGAATTAATTTTACAGGTGCTGAGAACCATAATGTCCTGACAAAAGGATCAAAATCAACAAAAGAAGGAGAAAGTTTATACTTATCTGGACATGTTACTGGAGTTGAATACCATCGAATCAGTCCAAATATATCTTACTATTGTTGCTCGACAAAAGGCACAGACACAAGCACCATATAGTGTATGGACAGTCCTTTAGAAGAAAACGGGAAAAGTGGAAAGAGCTTACTGCAATTGTCCAGCAGGTCTACGAGGGTTTTGCAAACATTGCGTTGCCTTGTTGCACTTTATTGTTAGGCAAATAGAGTCAGGATGCAACAAAGCATGTACATCCCAAACAAACCACATGTTCAAGGGAAAAGGGTTATACAACCTGACTTTGTAAGAAATCTTGTTGTGAAAAAGGTTACAGGTAGATTTGATACTACTCAAGAAGATTTCAAACTCGTGGAAAAAAGTCTCGATTGACATTTGAACCCAGAGCATTCTGCTACCGCAAGGAAAAAACACTATCAGATTTTGACTTAAATAGGCTAAGAGATAACATGTTTTTATTAACATTAATTCAGGTCTAATTACAATTCATCATTATTTAACTCAGGTTTAGTTCAATAGCCATTTTGATCTCTTTATACCAATATAGTAGTGATAACTAGTACACTTGATCATTGGGAATACCAATAGGGGGCAGACTGACTGTATGACGGGACAACCGTAGTGTCGAGGCTGAGGCTGAATTCAAAATACGGCTTCTTAGTCTTGTTGTAAACCTCTCTTTAAGCGTCAGAGAGGGTTCTCCCAAGAAAATGCAAGGACAACAGTGGACCACTATCCGGTGCAAAGTTTGGTGATGTCTAGTGTTTCTGTAAACATACAACAGTAGATCATTCTCTTGAAAATAACCAAGAGTTAGGTGATGTCTAGTCAGTGGCAGAGCCAGGTCTACATCCGAGGGGGGGGGCGAAATATCTGAGATTGCCTGAATTTCTAACCTAGTCATGAGATTTTTGCCCAAAAAACTTGCTTTCAGGGCTGCGAGGGGGGCTCCACCACTGTGTCTGGTGAATAGTACAACAATGGACCACTGTTCAGAATATAACCCAGAGTCAGGTGATGTCTAGTGCTTCTGTAAACATACAACAGTACACCACTCTCTTGAAATATTAAAGTAAAGTGAACTCTGGTAATTCAATAGACATACAATATTGGATCACACTTCAGAATACAACCCAGAGCCAGGTGATGTTTAGTATATTTAAAAGAAAACTGTACAACAGTGGACTACTCTCTGGAGTATAACCCAGAGTCAGGTGTTTCTAAATGGATGTTAGAATGAGCACATACTGGAATACTGAGAGTAAGTTTCAAGCCTTTGCAGCCTGTTTTTTGCGATTACTGGGAACTTTGATGTCAGCATTTACAACATCTTGTCCGATATATTCTCCAATTGGTGACCTGTAAATTATATAATTATAATTATAACATCAATAAAATCTGCAATGAAACAACCATATTATTAAACAGATAACAAACTCAGAAACCATAATGATCATTTGAAATATGAAAAATTACCAAAAAGGATACTGTTTTGAAATAATTGAAATATTATCAACACTAGCTTTACTGAGTTGACTATTTGTAACAAATGCTGAATTAACAAGCCCATGTTATAAAATACATAACAACAATAGCTATGTTTATATCAATTGTCATATTCAAAGTATCAGTACAAACTTATCTGTTATAAGACTCTCCTAAATGGAAATAATTTGATAAATCAAAAAGATAACTGAGCTTGTTGCGAATGAGGAAACACTCCTGATAAAGTATCATAGATTGCATTAGTTATTTTGCAAATTGTTTTGCTATTCTGGCTTTCTTTACATGTCATATCAAGCCAAACCCAAATTCATATCTGGGTCAAGCACTGGGCCAAGGCACTCTAGTTGGTTTGAGTGAAACAACATTAGCCTTAATACATACTTTGGTGTGTATCTTATATTATCAATTTCATCACCATGTATTAGATCTTTTCCTCTTAGTAATTTCTCCATACCATTCCTATCAATTTACAAATAAATACAGGTTATAGTCATAATGCAAGGCTAGATATAGTGTGCATGTATTTAACAACCCTCAATTGACTATTAAACTCTTCCACACCTGAATACTTTCAATCAATAATTGGAAAAGCCTGTAATTGTAAGATAAGAGATTATTGTCTGTGATGCAAATTGGTGAGCTGATCAAGTTCCTTCCGAATGAAACCATTCTGCATTCAAAATTCATTAAGCTTAGTTGGCTTGAGTAAAGAAACACTATTGCAGACTCTCATAAAATGATGCTAGGATGAAAACCTCGTCACAAAATGCCATTATATAAACTTAGTATGAATTCAAACCTATGGGCTAACATGCTTTTCGACTTTTATGTATTTAAACAAAATTACTAACTACGTGGATTCTCCAAAAAACAAGTGATTTTGACAAATAATACTTACCAAGCAATCATTATACCATTGTCTGTACATAATTTAGGTGGCGGACAAATCAACTGACAATCATAACTTTCTAAAACCTCCTCCAGTTTCTCACGGATATACATATTACTAGCCACACCCCCTGATAAAACCTGTAATAATATACATATTACTAGCCACACCCCCTGATAAAACCTGTAATAATATACAAATTACTAGCCACACCCCCTGGCACTGAAATGAAAGAAACCCGTGTTAGTTGGCTAAGCAAATATTCAGACAATAGCTCTGTTAGTTTAAACTTTCTTTATGTTGTATAACTTACTAAAGTTCGGTTAGTGGATGGTAATAATTCCTTCAACTCTGTATATAACAAGCCACGGCGAATACGATGAGAGAGATGATTAAATAGTCCTTCTTGTAATGAGGCACAGATATCAGCAGCATTACTTAATATATTACCTCCTTCAATACCTAAAACAACATGGAAATGTATTACAATAAGTCTCTGATGCCAAGACTTTTTCTGTCTGAGACGAGAATATAGTCTCTGATGCCCAGACAACTCATGTCTGCGAAGAGGAAACAGTCTCTGACACCCAGACTTCTCCTGCTGGAGACAAAAAAAAGAGTCTCTGATGCCCAAACTTCTCATGTCTGTAATGAGGATAATTATAGTCTCTGTTGCCCAGACTTCTCCTGTATGCGACAAGAATATAGTCTCTGACACCTAGACTTCTCCTGTCTGAGATGAGAATATAGTCTCTGACGCCCAGACTTCTCCTGTCTATTACTACTATTAATACAATTCTATCTACAAGTCTCATACGAATTGTTTACAACAGAAACAAAGTGACAACAACACAATATTCTAACCTTGCTTTTTCTCTTCCTTCATAATAATATGTCGAAAATGTTCCTTCATTCCGGAGAATGAGAAGTTACAGTTTCGTTCATGTGAGAGATAGGAAGGATTGTTAAAGGAATTTGGGTCTCCACGTTTAGCCAGTAATTCTATTGAAGCTCCACCACTCAGACCCTGACATTCTTTCAAATTCTTTATCTTTAACCGTCTGGCTGTCTGTAAGATATAAACAAAGCAATAGAGCAATAACACAGCCTGTCCCACAATACATCATTGTCTTTAAGAAGCAGTTTCTACATGACACACTTTGATTGGTTAAAAAATAATGTGATAAGAACGGGAATGCAGTAGAAAGCTTGTAAGATCTAAAGGGAGATGAAAAGTATCAGGAAAATAATACAGCCTGTTTAGGTTTCACTATCCTACAATTCATCATAGCTTTCTCAAGAAAAAGGGTCTACATGACACTCTTTGATTGGTTAAATAATACTGTCATCAGAACAAGACTGCAGTAGAAATCTTGTTAGATTAAAAAAGAGACGAAAAATATCAGAAGAAAAATAAATTTTTATTTTGTTACGTTTCTTAACGTACTTTATCAAAGGTATCTCCTGGAGAATCATCTAAATGTTTACCCAGATTCAAGAACTGGTCTATATCCTGAGCTACAGTCAACAAACAATGGCCACCACTAGCTAATAATACCAGGAACGGGAAATCTAATCTAAAAATACAGAAATATGTTCAAATACTGGAAAATTAGACACAGAACATCAATATACTAGTCTGAGTCAAAGAGGGAGGGGGGTAGCCCCGAAAGCAAATTTTTCGGGCAAAAATCTCATAACTAGGTTAGAAATTCGGGCAATCTCAGATATTTCCACCACTGAGTCCGAAGAGATTTACCTACAATTAATTATCAACATACAGATAAAGTGATATGGAAATGGGGAAAGCAAGCTTTAATAACTATTTCCGTCTTTCACATTAGGTGCATAAATTAGGATGTAAGACAGGGTTCAATTCTTTTCATTTAATAACTATTACTCCTACCTTTGTATCATACGAACTGTTAATGCATGAGCCTGCATATGATGTATTGGTATTACTGGCTTACTGAAACAAAATTAAGATATAGTTATAAATCTCATGATTTTGACCAATATAGCTGTGGCGGGTGTCATACAAAACAGATCATTCTTACTCAGATTTACGAAAAACCTGATGGTACTTTTCATTTGAGGAGTCCACTACTATGGTCACAATTTGTTCATGCCTTGGAAGAGATTTCTGGTTACTGGAATTGAATTGTATTACTTAACAAATTTTTTTAACAGATTTAATTGTATTCATTTCTAATATTAGTATGGTACTTACTTATAAATTCTACCCAACTCTTTGGCATGTTGAACTCCAACTTCTAGACTCATTGCTAGGCCTGGTTCTGTTGTTATAGCAATAGCATCAATATCCTGGAATCATAGATATATCTTTTCCTTAGATTATTAACATCTGGAAAACTGTTTTCTTCAAACCATTCCAAAGATATATTTTGTTTTCTATTTAAGATCAAGGGGCTTGTTTCACTAAAAATTCTTGTATCAAAATTTATCTTTTCAATAAATTGTCTCATATATATCAATTTATATTGATAGATTTTATTTAAATTGCTGTCTGTAGTGTTCTTTAATCCCATGCTATAAACTTTTGAAATAAATGTGTTTTTCTATAGAAGCATTCACAGTTATTGGTTGTGATTTTTCATCTTTAATAACTTTGAGATATAGGGATTTGTTCAGCCGATACAACAGTGAAACTCTCCATTGTAGCCTACTCCACTCCATTAATTACAGTATTCTAAACTAGTGTCAGATTCCTTTTGATCTTCTGTTCAATAAAATATGTTAAAATCAATCAAGGTATATTTCTCCAATAATATAAAGTAATATTAACCTGTAAAGACATATTGGCCTGTAAAATAGCATCCTTTACAACTTGTTCTATATTAGCTTGGTGTAAATCTCTAGCCAACACTGGTATGATTCCTCCCATTCTGAAAACACATCATGTAATTTTTTTAATACAGGTCTACATGTAATAATTGAGGTAGAAAGGTTTGTGTCATTACAAGTAAATATTTATTAGAATTAAAGGGATCCTTTCATATTTTTTTGCCCCTATTTGCACTTGGTGGAAGATGACAGATGGGAAAGCATCGAAAATGTTACCTTTTGGACAATAACTTAGTGCTGGTGCTGGTGTCATAATACAAGATGCATTAACATAAGACAGAGTGTCCTTGATTAATTGAATAAGATATTACACAATAACCAAGAAGCAAGAAATTCTGCTGTTCATGCTATGTAATGTGGATTTTATAATCATGCCAACCCTTCTTATCCTGCTGCCCCTCCTTTTCTAAGTAAAGAACTCATAATTATTATAATTACTCCACATGGAAACTGGTTTGAGAATTCAGGCTTTCCCCAATAATATTTCCAGAACAATCCACCACTGCTGCCCCGGTATCATCGCAACTCGTTTCAATGCCCAAAACATAACGTTTTCTTTCATTGCTATACTGTCTGTAAGATTGACATTTCTCTACTTTCGATTTATTTGCATTCTTAATGCCGGATAATGGGCGTTGGTTTAGAAGGCAATGACAACCATTTAAAGAAATATTAGTCTTAGAGAATGGTGCATTAGGTTTATTAGAAGAGGTAGAAGTAATCTCTTGAAGTGAAATAATCTGTTTAAGGTAGCGAAGTTTAGAAAAGGTGATCGAATTTTTAATAGCGGCGTGAACCATGGGCGCAGACATCTTTGAATTTCCCAGAGTTCAAAGTCAGAGACTCGAAAGGAAACATCAAACTTTTCCTGTTATTCATTAAAAAGCACAAAATAGGCAAAAATTAGTTTGGCTTTGACATAAAAAATTACAAAATGTTTTTACAGATCAATATGGCATCTTTTTGATATTAAAAATTGTCTTTTTCTCAAAATGTGGTAACTGAACTTGACCCATTTCCTTTCGTTTTCCTCATGAGTGGTTAAAGCGTGGCATTCTGATGAAACAGCCAACAAGACTGTTATTGTATTTATTTAGTTGTAGGACTGTCACTGTACAGAGTAGATCAGTTTCTAGCTCTAACATATGGTATCACAAAGCACCTGTTAACAAGCGTCCTGACAGTGAGTGGGGATCAAAGAAAAAGCAAATAAGACCCAAATTTGACAAAGATTATCTGAAGATGGCAGATCCTGAAATTGAGAAGACTTTGGAACCACTGAGACAACATGTCAAAGAGCAGGTTGGTACCAAGTATTTTTTTATTCTGAATTTTTAACTGCAAACCCCATTGACATTGTGATGTATGATTGTCCTTGGTGAGCACATAATGATGATGAGCCTGTCATCACTTAGTGTACCAGTATTATAAGTAAGCCAGGAAGCCCATGTACCAGATCTACCAGAGGTTGAGACAGTAGTATGGAATTGCTTGAAAACATGTTAATTTGATTTGAAGAGGTTTTAAAGGCTAGAATCGTACCATATAGGGGTGTAGACTTCACTTAATGACCAGACCCGTAACTAACTAAATCTCAACTGAACCTGAAATCAGTCTCTATCAGCTATTGCCGCACCCCGCATATTGGCTGGTTATAGGCCTGCTAATAACTGTACACCTATCGTATGCAGGTCTAATAGCTGTACACCTATCGTATGCTGGGCTAATAGCTGTACACCTATCATATGCAGGGCTAATAGCTGTTCGCCTATTTGAAAATGTTAGCAATTGATCAATGTTGTATGTGAAGCAGAACATCCTTAAAAAATATGCTAGATGAATATTATATTTCTACTGCACTCCATGCAAATCCATGCAATGTTCCATATTGGAGTCCCAGTCAGTGAACAGTTGATTGAATATCAGCAAAGATCCAGTCCTATCATTCAGTGTGAATCTTCGTTTAACAGTCATGATTTGATAAATGTTAATGTTATTTTGTAATAAATGTAAATTGCTCTAAATGCTTAAAAAGCTGGTATATCAATTATTACTTTAATCCCGACTCTACTAGGCATACTACATTGATGTTGTTTCTCATAATTTCTCCTATTTTAATATATAGGGGCCTAATGTTAAATGAAGGGAATGTTGATTGTGGGGGGGGGAAGGGAGGGTGACCTATTTATTACAGGAAGAGATTTTATTACCGTTTCATTGCATCATCTATGAAGGTGTGAATAATTAACTGAGATTTACTGTGATTTAATCAGTGGTGTAATTTGATCATTAAAATAAGCCTCAGGTTAAACACTAGGCCTGTATCTCATATATCACTTTAAATAGGGCTTTAAGTCTGTTGAATAAACCACTTAAATCATAGATCATAGTTTGAATTAAAAAGGCAGATTTAATTGGACCCGTTTCAGCGTAATTTTATAAAAGATATGAAAATTTTTATCCATCAAAATTATCATAATTAAATACCTGATTTTCTGTTCCTAAATAAGTTTTGTCATAAATTGCAGTTTCATAATATGTTTGATTTGTTGTCATCAGATCAGAGAGTTTCAGTTATTCTGACTCAGGGCCTCAATATCGTGGGTGACAGCTTGAAACTTCATATAACGATATATGACGGGAAATTATTTTTCGAGAAAAACACAAAAAACTATTTGTACGTGTATTTTGTTAAAATCTTTTTTATCGAGGTTTCAAGTGGTCACCCACGATATGTCATGATATCAGAAAGACAGCAAACATTTATCATAGTAAGCCTGTAGGATATACTTCACATCATTATCTCTGGGTCTTATCCTGTGATTACACCTTACCTTCATCTTAGCAAGCAAGCTCTTAACTTGCCCAACTTACCACAGTTATCAGTTATTGAGTGTAACTTTACTCTACCCAGAAATAAATTACATTTCAATTGGCCTTGCTTTTTTCAGGGTGATTTGGTTCGAAAATTAAAATCAGAAAAGGCACCTGATATAGATATCCAGAAAGCTGTTGCAGAATTAAAAGTTCGAAAGAGAAATTTAGAAACTATGGTATTGTAATATTTTTAAATGTTAATGATCTTTCTGAAAGTTCTGCTCCTTCTAAAGTACTTTCCTTATTTTTGAAAGTACAGTCAAGTTACAGTCATTTTCGAAGGGAATACAAACTGAAAATTTATTTCACTGTGTATAGTGCGCACCTGTTCTGTAAGGGGCCTATTTTGGGGTAAAAAAACTGTGCATAATATTTGGAAATATTTTTGAAAGTATAGTCAAGTATAGTTGCTCATGCAACGATTATAACATAACAAGAAAGCCACTCCTCTCAAGACTGTTGTCAATCATATTATTGGGCTGGATGTTTCAATCAGTTAACTCATGAAAACTGTCCTATAAATATTTAGCAGCAACATATAAAAAAAAGTTGTAAAAAGAATGTATAAAATATGTTTTTATGTTTTTAGGAAGAGAAATTAGAACCTAAAGAAAATTTTGATAGAGTCAAGATGGAAGATTTGTTAAAACAGAGATTTTTTATGACCAGTCATTTGCTATATATGGAGGTCTGTAAACTTGTAAATTTGCATCAGATATTCAGTAGATATCAATAGTCTGAAATGTATATATCTGTAAAAAAGTCAAGAGGTTATTTTGATGAGTAAAATCCACAGCCTCTTAAGAAGCTATTTAGATAATGTGAATCAGGGTGCCATCCTATACATTGAGAGGTTGTAATTAAAATGATTGTGATAGCTGATATGTTATGCTTGTGTTTTGTATTGTTTTGGCCCTAATTTTAAGTTCTTGTTAGGTGTGATTGGTTTATATACAGTGTAGTGTTTGGAAAAAAAGGAACCAGGGTGCCATCTGTTTATTGATAAGGGGCATGGTTTGAATGATAGTGATAGGTAATATGTTATGCTTGTGTTTTGTATTGAGTGAGTCTTATCTATTTGTAGGTGTGAGTGGGTTGTATGATTTTGGACCAATGGGTTGTGCTATGAAGTCTAACCTGATTCAGTTGTGGAGGAAATTTTTTATTCTGGAAGAACAGATGCTGGAGGTAGAAGCAGCCATGTTGACTCCCTCTAAAGTTTTAAAGTAAGTGAATTTCACGATTTTGAATACTCAGTAATAGTTATGCAACTTGACTTTATTTTGATATTTTAAAGTAAACTATCCTGCTATCCTGTATGTGTTAAGAATATCTTTTTATGTGCATAATTATGGGTTCACATTTAAGGTTCCTTTCTATCAGCTGATCCTTGACAAAACTTCCTGGATATGACATTGACTGAGATTGGAACCAATGACCACTAGTTCTTAGCATATGCCAACAAATGTTGTCATGAAATTAAAGGTTTTGACCCTCTGTTCTCTTTAGCTCTGTCTGTCTGTCCTCTTTAGATCTGTATGTCTGTCCTCTTTAGCTCTGTATGTCTGTCCTCTTTAGCTCTGTCTGTCTGTCC